ACCTGCTGGTGAGCTCCCCAGACGCGCTCATTCATTCCAGGGCAGAGAGCTGCCTTCCCCACTTTTTGTTTTTAATGTATTTTTATTGCTTTCAGAGAGGGAGGGAGAGGGAGAAATAGAAACATCAATGATGTGAGAGAGAATCATTGATCAGCTGCCTCCTGCACTCCCCACACTGGGGATCGAGCCTGCAACCTGGGCATGTTCCCCGACTGGGAATCGAATCGCGACCTCTAGTCCATAGGTCGACACTCAACCACTGAGCCACACCGGCGAGGCCCCACTTTTTTCTAGATCAGGAGATAGTTACTTTCTTGGAGAGGGCATCATTTACTTTCTGATTGAAAGGTCCCTACAAAGTGAGCAATCTGTTCTCTACTCACCAGCTCAGAACACTGCGTGCCTTCAGGCAGCCCAGTCCTGCGGCCTGGCATCTGCACTGAAGGAACATGAGATGAAAGACAGACAGTCTTCCAGGGGTCAGGAGCTGTGAGGAGCATGGGGCTTGTAAAATGGGGCCTGGAGACAGAAGAGCTAAGTGCAGGCCATAGGAGGACTGTGGCATGGGGGTGGTCTCAGGGCCCAACGTGAAGAAAGGAGAGTGTGAGACCCTAATGGCAGACCAGTTCCCTGGCAGATTGCTGTCTGTCAGCTTCCTCGTGGCCCCTTCAGGCATCCTGTGTCTGTCACCCTCAACCTGGTGCTCAGCACCCTTGGTTCTAGCTGTGTAGTTTAACCCTTTCCCAGGCCCTTGGCCCTAGGCCCACCGCTTGGCACTGTGTCCCAGTGGGTGCCTGGAGGCCCATGCACTGACCTCATGCAAAGTCGTGGGCAAGTGAGGGTGCTGTCACTTGTCCTGGTGACCATGCCACACTTCTGCTCACTCTGAGCTATGGCTAGCGAAGCCCAGGCTGCCCTCATGTGCTGCTGGGATTTCTGTCTGTGTGGCTTTCACATCCGCACTTACCCTTCTTCACCTTTGTCTTGTTGGTTTGGCTCAGTGTCCTGTCCTGTGAAAGTCACTCTAAGTCTGGTTTATAATTTGATCCCTTAAGTGTCTCCAATGGTGGTGGGAGTCAGACGGGGCAGGCCAGGCAGAGAGCTGCCCCCAGGCCTTGAGCTGCCTCCGGCTGCCCTCACCTATGGGGTGTAGGGCAGACAGTGGCTCACTCCCTTCATCACACCAGGCTGTTGTGACAAGCAAAATGAAAGACCTGCCAACAAAGGTCATTTATCAGAAGCATGTAGGAAGCTGCTCATGTCTGATCTTTCAGGTTTTGCAGCCTTCCTAAGATTAAGGGGGTGCGGGGGGAGGGGGCGGCGGTGGTGGTGAAGCCCTCTGGCGGTCCTCTGGGTCCTGAAGATGTGAAGTTCCTGCAGTCGGGCCATCTGACTGCGCCCTTCCTCTCTTGCATTTTAGGATTTCTAGTTTGTAGGTCATACTTCTTAATGTATGTGTTGGAAGCAAATAAGAATTGTTCTGTTCTGTTGTTTTTTTAAAAATGACTTTTCCTGCCCTAACCAGTTTGGCTCAGTGGATAGAGCGTCGGCCTGCGGACTAAAAGGTCCTAGGTTCGATTCCGGTCAAGGGCATGTACCTTGGTTGTGGACACATCCACAGTAGGAGGTGTGCAGCAAGCAGCTGATCAATGTTTCTCTCATCGATGTTTCTAACGCTCTATCCCTCTCCCTCCCTCTCTGTAAAAAATCAATAAAATATATATTTTAAAAAATGACTTTTCCCAACTCCTGGGCCACTCCCTTCTTTCATTTTTTCCTGAATCTAGTTGAAAGAGTCTTAACCTTTTGTTGCCTCTAGATTTTTTTTAAGTAACTAATTCTGTATTTGAGATTTTTAATTCTATCCATACAGGTTGATACAGTAGATGTGACTCTTTCTTGGTAAGAACTCATTAGAGACTCTGCCTGTGGCTCCCGTCTGTTTGCACCTGCAGTTGAATGATTAGGATTTGTTATTTCCCAACTGTGTTTCCTTTGGTGGTTTCCAGCCCCAGCCTTGGTGAGAGCTGTGCCTGCTCTCCTAGCATCGAGGTCTGCCCAGCTAGGCCTGGTCTCCCAAGGTGGCATGGCTCCCCAGCCTCCTCTTCAGTCAGAACTCAGGGCAGCAGTGGCCCCGTGTATCAGTGAGGGAAGGAAGGTTTCGGTGTGTGCAGCAAAGGTACACCTGCAGTGCCGGCTGCCACGCCTCCACATGGCAGCCGTTGGTGCACCTGCTCCATAACCCTCGTGTGGCCTGGAAGCACTGGGGCCTGGCTAGCTCCTCCAAGACTCACTGTCACCCATGCAGGGTTTGTCATTACAAAGCGTTCTGCTTCTCCTCTGGCTGTCACAGCAGCCATCGCTTCAGGGACCGTCGAGTCTCCTCTGTTTCAGCCCCTGGGTGTCCTTCCCTGCCTGTCACGGGGACGTGTAGCTCCACTGTCCCCTCCCCACCTCACGGTGTGTCTGCGCCGGCGTCAGCTGTGCAGTAGTGGTGGGTCCAGATGGGGCTGCCAGCCTGGGAAGGAATGGGTCCTCCCTTCTGGCCTCGATGGGGTGGGCTCCCCTCGGCGAGATGTCTCGTCTCTCTGTTTTGTCTGAAGCTGTCCACCCAGCACCATGTCCCACCCCCGTCTCCTAACCCCACTGTGGGCCTGCGGTGCGTTACTCGGTGGGTCACCTGGCATTGACCTGGCCAGGTGTTGTCACAGATGCTCCGAGAGGCCACCCAGGTTGGGGCTGGCAGGGCAACTGCAAAAAGCAGCTCACTGAGAAGCACTTGAGCCATCGGACACCCAGGGCAGCGCCTCGAGGGTGTCATTCCTCTGCAGCTGTTTGTCAGGCTCCCTTTCCCTTAACTGTTGCCTGGCCTTTGACTCCTGGGAGTCTTCGGGAGGCCTGGTTCTGGGTCATCATCCAGAAGGCTAGGCTGCCCTGCGACAGCGAGGCTGCAGCCTGAGACACCAGTGAGGGTGCCCGCAGGCCACGGGCCAGCCTCCCCTGGGTCTTTGCCTGAGGCCCTAACCCTTTAATTCCACCCACAGGTTCACTCTCTCAGGGGGCAGGTCTCCTTTTTAATATATTGGTTTTTATAGTCTTTTATTTGTATTCAATATCAGCTATTGCTTTCTCTTCAGTTCCAGAAAATCCTATGTAATAAAACCCTAGTATGCAAATTGACCGAACAGCATAAAGACCGGTCGCTTTGACGTGCACAGCGGGAGCACCGCTCAGCCAGAAGTCAGGCTCAGAGCCTCTCCCACCTCCGCTGCGGGCGGGAGGTAAGGAGCAAGAGGTCCTGGACTGCGAGAGGGCACAGGCCGGGCTGAGGGGTCCCCGCCCCCACCAGTGCACGAAGTTTCTAGACCTCTAGTATAGAATGTTAGGAAAAAGAAACCAGGAAGCACCCAGTATTTCCACACTAAGAAAATAATTTTTGTTGACACTCTGGTGCACTTCCCTCCATTATATGGTTTTATTGGGTGCTTAAGAATCCTTTGGCCTGCCCCGTGTGGCTCAGTGAGCATCGACCCATGGACCAAGACGTCACTGGTTTGATTCCCAGTCAGGGCACACGCCTGGGTTGTGGGTTTGATCCCCAGTAGGGAGAGTGTAGGAGGCAGCCCATCAATGGTTCTTTCTAGGTCGAATAAAGACTCTTTGCTTTAGCATCGGACTCGGCTGGCTCCCTGGTGGGCTTTTGGGGGTCTTGAAATCTGGGCATAACACTGAAATCAATAAAAATATATTTTTAAAAAAGAATCCTTTGTTTCTGTTTTCCTGCCTTTCCACTCAACCTTGCAGCCTAACTATGTACCCTTCATGCACGTCTCCGGGGCTGCAGCCAGTGCGGGCAGGTATTTGTGAGGCTGTGCTTTTAGAGCTGTTCTGAGCCTTGCTTTGCTGGCCACCCTCGTGTTTCGATGACTTGCTGTTCTCAGAATGGATCGGAGGCACCTCTGCCAGCCCCACCCTCCTCCCCTGTCACCACTGGGACCCTCGCAGCACAGAAAGCTCCCTGCTTCTTTTTTAAATGACAAGTTGTACCCTTAACTCTGTGTGTTTTGAGGTTGTTTATATGTGTCATTCCTGCACGCAGTGACTTTTTTAGTTTTTTGAAATCACTGATTCTCATCTGGGGTGCCAAGGTGTAAGTGAGTGTGCCTCACTCCCTGTCCTGCTGGGGGCAGAGCTATCCGGCCCAGACCGTCTTCTTAATCTCACCCCTCTCTTAACTTTCTTGGCATCATGTCCTAGACATCGAGAAGAAGGCACATTTCAGACACCTGCGTTCCCATGTCTGTTTAGAGAGAAAGGAGTTTTCTTCACAGCTGGTTAGACCTGGTGCAGTGGCAGCCCTGGCGCTCACTGGGGGCAGCAGTGCCCACTCCCCGCTGGGCACCTCCCCGAGGTCAGCCGAGGCAGCCTGCCCTTCAGCCATGGTAGCCCTAGGACTAGGTGTCTTTCTGCCAACGAGGGCCGGTGAAGTTGATTTCTCACCTTTCTCTGCCATCCATATGAATGGGTATTGCTGGCTCTATAGCTGGCCTCTTGGCATGACCTGTGGCCACTGGCCCTCACAGCCTGGCCCTAATAGGGCAGCAGTGCTGGCCTTGCAGAACAGGTGCACATTGAGTGTGGTTGTTTGAGGGGACTGGCCCTTAGGAGGACACTGTAGTTCCCTAGGGTGGGCTGGTAACATTGAGATCGTTTTCCATTTTATTTAGAATCAGCAACACTTTTATATGAGTAGTAGTCTTTTGTACATTCTTATTTCCTTAAGTTAAATTCCTGGGAGTGGGCTGGCTTGATCAGGAGGCACAGGTATTCCTGGTTGCCCTGTGGCCCCAGTGTGTCCTCTGGTGGGGGCACTGGGTATTCAGGCCAGTGGGCTGCCTATGAGGTTGCCACCTCCAAGCTTCTGAGGACAGCCCCCAAGCTGCCCAACCCCTCCTGCACACCCTGCCACTCCCTCCCCTCCTCCCCCGGCTGTGGGCGGCACTAATCACCCTTTGCTTTCTTTTCCAATAGCGTTGTGTGGTACTGCGTTTTCTGAAGTTTCCTCCCAATAGGAAGAAGGTAAGATCTGTTGAGTTTGCTACCCAATCATTAAGACAATTACTTAGGAACACTTTGATTTTATTTCTGATGTAGAAGTATTAATGCTCATTATAGAAATTTAAATATGACACAGCATTCAGTACAGAACGTGGTGTGTCTGATTCCTGCAGGACCCAGTGCTTGGTGGGGTCTCTGTGGGGAGTCCTTGGGTGTTGAGCTAGGAATCGCCCGTTCAAATCAGAGAGCCCTGTGGTTGGCGGGGACCCCGAGGGCCAGGTCTTAGCTTGGCGTTTCCCCTTCTGTGAACATGAAGTCTGGGATGCTGGCAGGTAGGCAGCATTGCAAGTCCCAACAGGCAGTTCAGATGGAGCCTTGGTTTCTATTTGCTGAGTCACCCAAGCCCAGGACTGTGGACACCCTCAGAGCTGTTGCTGCTCTGTAGCCTCCTCGCTGACCTCTGGGAGGCAGTGACCCTGGAGGTGGGGTGTCGCTGTGGTATTCATCCAAATTTCAGTGGGTGCAGGGCTCAGTAAGGGAGCCCTTCCTCTTTGTGGCCCTAGGGCAGTGGTTGGCAAACTGCGGCTCAGGAGCCACATGTGGCTCGCGAGCCGCAGTTTGCCGACCACTGCCCTAGGGGAAGGGCGGGAGGCACAGGAGCTGGTGTGAGCCCTGCTCCAAAGCAAAGGCAGGAGCTGTGGGCACAGCCCTCACAGTGGGGACGGGCGGGAGTGGGTGGGTGGGGAGTGGAAATCGGGCAGGACGGCCATTGTGTTTCTGTGGAATCTAAGTGGGGACCAGAGCCATCTGGGAGGCTGCCTCTAGCCCCCTTTCTCCACTCAGCATCTGCTGAGCCCAGACTCCAGCTCTGGTCAGCTTTTCCCGTTTCAATTTATTGAGGCAACAAACAATTTGCCTTTACTTATTATGTCAGTGGCGTTACCAGTGGGAATCCTGTGGTCATGCTGTCAACAAGAGGAGCTTTTTGTCAGGAGCCTTGGGCCAAGCTGTGTGGAGCCACTGGGTGTGCTCTGGGCTTTTCTGTTGGGTTTCATTCTCACACTTCACACTGCACGCGCCCCGGGATGCAGGCTGGGTCTGCGGGTGCTACAGGCCAGATGGCAGCCCAGCCCAGGACTTCCCTGGAGCTCAAGCCCTGTGTCAGCACCGCCTGGACTGCCCTTGAGGACAGCTCTCTCATTCCTTAGACCTGGGATGGACTCTTCGGAGTTCTCGCCTCCACCAGGGGGAGGGACAACGGGCTGATTTCTTGTCTCACCCAAATCTCATAGCTTATTGGCTCCTTAAGAACATCTAACTTGGGAGAAAATATTTTATTCTCTATTTAGAGGCTGAAGAATAAAATATAAATACGTAGTGATTTTTGGACAGGAGAGATTTTCAAAGTCGATTCCTCGGAACCGTGCATGAGCTGCTGGTGGAATCCACTGGTGTTCCTGGCACAGGTGTGGGTCACCTGCGGCCCTGGATAGAAGGCAGAGGTGGGCCTGGGAGCTGAGGGGACAGAAGCTCCAGTGGGTCTGGCGGTGTCCATGGCGAGGCTCACCTTCCTCCGCGTCCACGACCGCCATCTCCTGTTTGTGGCCGCGGACGGGGCGCCCTGTGTGTAACCCTCCGTCCTCGCGCTAGGTCAGTAAGGCCTTCCTGTGCTTCTTTGTTGCAGGCCTCGGAAGAAGTATTCCAGCACCTACAAAACATAGTGGACTTTGGCAAAAATGTCATGAAAGAGTTTTTGGGGGAGAACTATGTTCATTGTGGGGTAAGTGGTTTCATTTATGGAGTCTAAGTTCATGGGCAAGATCTGTCTCAATAATACCAGCTTCTCAATTACAGTTTGGAACTCTGAGCTTGATAGTTCCTCATGTTAGAGTTTCCAAGTGGTTTGTTTTTCGCATTTACTGTGTTGTGAGGTAGCAGAGCAGATAGTATTATTCCCATTTTCTAGCTGAAAAGCCTGCAGTGCAGAGAGACCATGTGATAACTGTGAGGGGTGCCGGTCACAAAGTCTGTAGTTTGGACACTTGGGGAGGAGACAGTGTAGGAAGCCACAGTGGCTTTGGTCCATGCCTGGGACAGCTGCCTTAGTATCCGTTGGCCTTGCTGCAGACAGGGCACTGAACAGACTAAAAGGTTTGTCACTTTGCACACAGAGAGCACTGCTCTGTTTTGCAGAGCCCATGCCTTGTGTCTGTCCTAGGAAAAATGATAAGTAGGAGGTTAAGGGCGCCTGTGAAGCTGAAGGGGTTGCCAGGCAAAGTATGTTTTAAATGACTCTGACAGCAAAGCATCCTCCAAGAAGGTCCCTTGACAAGCTTAGGATATATGGAGGTGGCTGCGGGTATCCCTCAGGCTGCAGCCTTGATTGAAGGCATCAGACCCTTTCCAGGGTGGCCCAGCCATGGAGCTGGCAGGGTGGTGCGGCTTTTGGCTGGGGTTCCCAGAACCTCCCCACATGGATTTACTGCAGGGCTCTGAGGGTCCTTGAGACTCAGCCCGGGCTCCCCCGCACTTGGTCTGAGAGGTGACCTGGCCCAAAGTTGTGTCTGTCCCTTCCACAGTGTCCTGCGGCCTTGCAGCTCAGCCCACGCAGAGTGGAAGGCCTGCAGGGAGCTGCAGGCTGTGCGTGGAGTCCCAGGGAGCGGGCGCACCTGGCCCCTGTGGAGCCTCTCTCTGTATCACAGTGCTGAGGCTCCAGACCTTTCCCCTGGCAGGGCCAGTGAGGAGGGTGGTGGGAGATGAGGGCAGCCCAGGGCGGCCGGGGAAGTGGGAGCAGCGTGAGGGTATCACCTGGCCCAGGGCACACATGCTCTGCCATCCACAGTGGATGGGTCCCTGGGTGCATGAGGTGAGGCCACAGGTCGCTTCCTGGGAACATGCATTCTGTTGACACCTCCACATGGAGACAGCACCTGAGTGAACACAGCCTGTCTTGCCCCCAGGCAGACGTGATGTCCCCAGGGGACTGCCACTCAGGCCTGGCCCCACTGGATGGTGGCCTCCAGAGCGCAGCTCTGGTCCGCACACGGCCAACAGGCCGAGTCAGCTTGTGTGGATGCCGCCTGACGGGAAGGGGCCAGATGCAGTCGGGTGAGCGTTTCCCTCCTCTGTGTCCTGGGACAGGTACAACCAGCCCCGTGGTGAGAGCACGAGGCCCAACAGCACCACCTCGTGCCTGTGCTGCCTTCGGGCCTGCCCAGCTGGTTTGGGGAATGGTCTGGGCTGGTTTCTGTGTGAACTGGCCGTTAGGCAGTGGGGACGAGGGTGTCCCTTTATGCCTACAGATGTCTGCATCTTAAATCCTTGGAGTAGTAGAGACCCTGGTGAATTTTAGAAGTTTAGCCTCGCTTTTGTGGGCCTCAGCCTCCAAGTTTGGGTGCCCCTGGGCGGCCTGGACTTCACCTTTACCCTGACACGATGGCGGCATGGGCTAGGCCGGCACGTGTGGTGAGGAGGGTGCCGTTCTTCTGAGGGAGCTCCTGGGAGACTGCGAACGTGCTGCTCCCCATTGGCCTCCAGTCTGGGCGGCCCTTCTCCTCTGCAGCCTCCCTACATCCCTTTGAGGGCAATGCCTGTCATCAGGGAAGCCGGTGTGGCCACATCTTCTAGGTACACTTCCTGGGAGGGTTCTGTGCTCTTCCAGTTTCCCTAAGTTAATACCACGTGCCCTGCTGATGCCCACTGCCTCCCAGGGCTCTGAGGCGCCATCTATCTGTCTGGCAGGTGATGGCACAGTTCACAGGGTCATGAGTCTGAAGCAAGGGTTGGTCAATGTAACCAAATGCTAGGAAGGGTGCCTACTACCAACATTTTATTCTGACTTAAAACACAAATAGAACTCATTATAAAATCAGGAATTAAAAGTTGCTTAAAGAAATAAATTCTACTTTTTACCTTGGTGACTGTGAACTTAGACGGGGGAGTCCCAGACGCGTTTCAAGAGTAGCTGAGCCACTTTGAGCTCTGGACTCGACCCCCTCAGTCCTCTGCACGTGCCTGTCACTTGGTGATTCCAGCAGTGCCTGCCTGCCTGCCTTTCCCAGCCGAGGCATCAGGACACCTGCGCAGGCCTGAGCTGCTGTGCTGGCCCTGCCCCCAGCCTTGCCCCAGGGTGCGGGGCTGAGGTGTTTCTGAGGGTGAGTCTGGAGGCAGTTCTTTTTTTAAAAAATTTTTATTGATTTCAGAGAGAGGAAGGGAGAACATATAGATAGAAACATTAATAATGAGAGAGAATCATTGATCAGCTGCCCCCTGCACGCCCCCTACTGCGGATCGAGCCTGCAACCCAGGCATGTGCCCTTGACAGGAATCGAACCTGGGACCCTTCATTCCCCAGGCCGACGCTCTATCCACTGAGCAACACCAGCTAGGGCTGGAGGCAGTTCTTTATCTTTCTGCACAATGTCTGCTCACTTCCTACCTTTGGTTTGTTTAAAGTGGAGTAAGACCTTGGGCTTTTGTGAATGTCTAAGTTTTGAATTTTCAAATGTTTATAATTTCCCCTTTTCCATTGTTTCACCCTCCCTAATTCAGAACTAAATTTTTAGCAACTCACCTTTTATCAGTTTATAGCATGTGTAGGTAAATAACAAAGTTCATGAGGTCAGCTCACACAGCAGGCTAGGAAGTGGACGGCTGAAGCCAGGCCCACTGCAGGAGCACGTGGAGGCCCAGGCAGGCCTCAGCGTTCACATCCTAGGCTGGTCTCCTGTGTCCTGTGGGGCTTCTCCAGAGCATCAGGACGATGGTGAGCAGCATGAATTAAGACTCCTTCTTCAGGAAATTGCAAGGAGCAGCAACATGGAGAGAAGTTGCTCTTTGTTTTTTGTCCAGATGCACAGCCTGCTGGGCCCTGAGTCCCGTGGCGGAGGGCCCTCAGGGGTCTCACCTGGGATCGGTGTTCCATCAGACCCTTTTCCTTGAGCTGCTCCTCGGGGGAGTGGGAGAGGCTCAGGGTGTCTGCGGAGACAGCTGCTGGGAGCGTTCGTGCCGGCAGTGAGGCCCTCCAGCCCTGCTTTGCCGCATGGACACCACGAGGAGAGGCCAGGGCCGTGAGGACACTGACTGGGTGGTGGGCCGCTGCTGGTCACCACCTGGCACCAGCCCCTCAGGAGGGCTGCCGCTCCCAGGGCTTCTGTTGAATCGGGACATGGCCTTCAAGTAACAGGGCAGCCTTTCTTCCTGAGGCCTTTTAATGTGCTGAGTACACGTCCCATAAACGGACCGTCTGCACCACTGTCAGTGTGCGGCTCCGCGGCATCCAGTGCCTTCAGTGCCGTGCGGCTCATGCTGCTGTCTGTCCTTACAGGAGGTGGTTCGGCTGCCTTTAGACTTTGTGAAGCAGCTCTGCTTAAAGATACAGTCTGAACGACCAGGTAAGGGTTTCTCACTTACACATTTCCTTTGTCATTTAAGATGCCCGATGTGAAGTGTGTGACATTTTCCCTCATGTTAGGTAGATGCAGCTTTCAGCAGTTCTTTTGCCAGAAACTTGATCATCAGGGTAGAGACCCCAGGAGCTTACGAAGACAATTCTGTCATCAGATCCCCAGGCCACTGCAGAGAATGTATGACCAGGGACTAATAAATACTAAGAAACATGCAGTTGGGAGCACGAGGGAGCCGAGGGAGTTAGGGGAGACTCAGGGAAGGAAAGGGAGGCTGCAGGGAGGCTGGAGGAGTCAAAAGGAAACCAGGTAGACCCACACCGCAAAGGAGGGCCAGGCCCACAGACTGCAGCCGGAGGACCTGCCCCCAGAGCTGAAGCCCACCCAGCCTGCTTGTCCTCCTGGGGGACCAGGCAACGTGAGTTCTGTGGGCAGTACCTGCCCCATTACCTCACATACCTCCCCCATCACCTCCCGTACCTGCCCTGTCACCTCACATGCCTCCCCCGTCACCTCCCATACCTGCCCCGTCACCTCTCATGCCTCCCCCAT